GGGGCCGAGCCGTGCCGAGCCGTGCCGAGCCTCCAGCGGGGCCGGGCCGGCGGCAGAGGGGTCCCCAAGGGGTCCCCAAGGGGTCCCCAAGGGGCCCCCGAGAGGTCCCCGGGGGGCGCGGTGCTGCTGCGGGCCGAGCCCTGCGTTCAGCCCCCCCCGTCCCATTCCTTCGCCCCCTCTGCAACCCGCCCCGCTCTGTCCCCCCCCGGTGCCCCCAGCACGGCTGTGCTAAGGCGGGGGATTGCCCAGCAAGCCGGCCGGCTTTTGCTGCATGATAGCGGCGGCTTAGCGGCAGCTGAGCCGATTAAAACCACGCAGAGGCTCGGGTCTGCTGCGCCAAGTGCCCGGTCCGCCGCTCCTGGGGGAGCTGCAAAGACCCAGCCCCGCTGCCACCCAAACCCCAAATGGCACCCGGGGTGGTGGTGAGGGGCTGGTGGCCTCCTGCACAGCCCGAAGCAGGAGGTGGTGATGCACACCTCGTCATCCAGGGCAACATCTCACAGCTGCTGTGTCGAAGCACGAAGCTGGAAGCATCCCGGGAAGCGCTGGGGCTCGGTATCCCTTCCGTGAGTTGTGCCAGAGCTTGTAAAGCTCAGTGACATTTCTAAGATTCCCCTGAATTTCTCCAGCACTTTTTGTCCTTTGAATGATCTTAATTACACCGTGCAGCTCCCGGAGCACAGACTAACACTGCTTTTCCGGCACGAGGCGCACGTCGCAGTTGGGTGCAGGGTGGGTGCGTTTTGCCCGGGTCCCCACCCGCTGCGTGGCCAGCACAGGGGCACTGCAGCTTGAATTTCTGCCCTTGGAGCCGAGGGTGCATGGGGAAGCTCCCCCTGATTTGCTGGACATCCACAATTTCCAGCTCAGCCTCTGACTGTTAAACAACGTTTGGGTGCTCCGGACACCACGCCTAAGCCCCAGGCTTTCACATTACAGTCGTGCCAGCAGGCAAGCAGCAGAGGAGGATTAGCCTCAGTGCCCCTGATCTCCTATCGTGCACCTCACAGCTTTGCCGTTACCTCCTGGGTAAATTATTGCCCCTTTGGTGATCCTCAGCACAAAGACCCCCACACAGCACCTGCCCTCTCCACCTCACCGAGGTGTCAGAGGCCTGGAATGTTTTTTTTTTCCACGTGTCCGCAGACCAGGGGCTGAGGGAATTCACTGAAATCCCACTGCAGAAAAGTCCTCTCTAACATTTGGCTACTTCCTTGCCCACGGGGGAGTTGTTTGTGTTTTGAGAGGAGTTTTCGGGGCGGAGGCACCCTCAGGAGGCTGGCTGAGAGCTCAACCCTGGCCTGAGCCCCTGCGCCCCAGCAGCGAGGTGCCCAAAGCAGCACCGACCCGTGGCCCTGCCTGGTCCTGTGTGGACCCTGCTCCTCCCGCAGCTCTTCGGGTCGCTGTTGCCATCTAGAGCCCATGCTACAACGATCAGCTGCTCGCAGGGTGCCGGGAAGGAGCTGGTTTGCTTTGGTTTGTTTTTAATTCGCGGCAGCGTGTAAAAGCAGCGTGGTTGGGGTAGGGGCAGAGCAGAAGGAGCAGATTTGTTGCTCCTCCGACTGAGCCAGTTTAGGCTGAGAACACAGCTCAGTGCCCCAGCCCAGGGCTTGGGCAGCTGACTGGTGGCCGGAGCTCAGCGCCGTCCTTGCGGCCCCAGCGGGCATTCAACCTCCCTCCCTTCTGCGATTTACCTTAATTGTTCCCCTCCCTCCATCACCAAACCAGAACGGCGCACGCAGTTGCTGCCGGGAGGGAAGGGGCCCCGCTGGCACGAGTGACGCCCGCGGCAGCTCCGCCGACGGCTTCAGGTGAGGCCAGGCCAGACCCAGCTCCACGGCCCAGGGCTGGAGGGCGCGAGGCTCCCGCTCCCAAATCTCTCCTGCGAGAGCCGAACTTGGAAAGCGGCAGCGGTGACCCCACCCAGCCAGGAGCCGGCAGGAGGGCCACGGAGACCCGCAGCAGACATCTGAAACATTTTAAGTATGCTGTGAACCAGCTGGACGGAGCCGCACTTCTCCCCCTCCCGGCTCAGCTGCAGCTCAGGCTCCTCCTTTCGTGGCTGCAACCCGAAAGCTCCGGCTCGCACCTGGGTGTGGGGAGGCTCCGAGTCCCGTGGGGGCCAAGGGGGATCCCCAGGGCGCTGCTTTCCCTGACAGGAGTACAGACACTGCTGGGACACTTGCTGGTGTGCAGCTTGCACACCCACGAGGCCAGCACCACCTCCAGGGGGGCTGTGGCACCCTCCTGGTGCCACATCACCTGTCCCGTGGGAATGAAGGTGTGGGTTGAGGGTGAAGCAGGGCGAGGAAGGGCTGCTCCTGCAGGCAGCCAGGCCACGGCAGGAGGCAGGTTATGGAAAGTCACCCCCAGAGCCCTCTCTGCAGCTCCAGGTGTTCATTCCCGAAGCTAAACGTGACCAGGGCCCTGCTGCTGGGCTTTGGGCCTGTCCGTGAGCAGCACAGAAAATCTCGGCTTCATTCCTGGTGCTCAGCACCCGCATCCCAACCCCAGGGACCTTTTTCCTGCACAGGTACCTGTCCCCTGTCCCCTATCCAGACGCAGCTCTTCCCACTCTGCACCTCGCTCATCACGGTGTTAAGGGCAAAGCTAGAGCAGGGCAGGGGGCAGCACACACGAGGTGTCTGTGCACACATTCACTCCGTCACCTTTTTAAAACCTGCCTGGCAATAGCTGCTGCTTCAAGTCCGAGAGCAAAACTCAGGGGTTTGATTGCGAGGGAGCCGCAGGCTGCAGGGAGGAGGAGGAGGAGGAGGAAGCTGCTCTTCCAAGGACCAGGCTCCAGCAGGCAAGCACGGGGCTCGGGTTGGCCCCAGTCACCTCCTGCTCCTGGGCCAGGGAGCCGTGGGCTGGGACACATCCTCCACGTGGACACAGCTCCATAAATGTCAAAAACAGTACAAAGAAGCAGCGATTGCCCTTTGCAGGGCTGGCAGTACCCGGTGGTGATAGGCAGCAGCATAAACCATAGCTAGAGGCGGCTCTCCAGTAGGTAACGTCTTTTATGGCAAAGAACCAGCCCGCAATGTGTGACCAGAGGTAACCAGCCCTCGTGTCTCCACCCCGCTCGAAAGCTCGCTCAGCCTTCCCTCTGCATCGCTCTGATGGACTCCAGCTCTCTGCTCCCTCAGAAACCAACTCGGCAGCCCTGTCCCCAGCACAGCGCGCCCTCTGCACAGTCCCTTCCCTGGGCCCACCTGGGAACTTGGGCCTGGGGCTCCCGGCAGGAGCAGCCTTCCCACGTGCCAGTGCTTGGCTCCTGCTGGATTCACCTGAACCCAAACCCTGACCCAACACGCACCCCGTCCGAGGCCCCCAGGAAGCCGTGCTCCCAACAGGAGCCTTTGGGTAGCCCTCGACTTCCTTCGGCAGCCTTTTCACAGCCCCATTCCCATCAGGACTCTGCACACCCGTGCTGCTGCTCGAGCCCCTCTCTGCTTCCCATCCACCCCATTTCCTCCTCCACTACCTGCCTGTGCCGCCAGCTACTTCTTTCTGCTCCTGTGCCTTCTCTTCTCTGTCTGCCCCCCTCAGTCACTCTCTCAGGAAATTAAAGATAATCCCCCCTTTTCTTGCTGCCGGATTCCCTGTTTAACATTCGCTGCGTGTGCTGCACTGATTCAAAACGGGATTAGACTTTCTGGTGCTTTGATGTCAGCTGGGTTTTGCACTTAAAGCAGGGGGGAAAGAAAGCGTGCGTTAACAAACCCGGGCGCTGTCAGAGCCCGGGGCCCTTCCAGGACCAACCCTGTGCGTGCAGTCCCGGCGCTGGGCGTTACTGTGTGCATACGGCAGGTTTCTGCCCCGACGGTTACATCCCCGGGGAGGCTGAAGGGCTCCCATCAGGAGCGAGGGGGAATTAAACATCTGAAGACACAGCTCGTTGACTGTCCGGCCTGCCAGGCCACCAGCATAACTGTGATACAGATCGGCGCATACCCCAAGCTGCGCTGGGATGAGCGGGTGTGCTGGGATGGCTAAGGTGTGACTTGGCTTCCCGTTCCTGTAGTGTGACATTTGGGCCATGGCACAGGCCAAGAATTGGGCATTCCCCTCTGCCTCGCCAGGCCTGAGTGTCTCCCTTTGGAGGATGCAGCCTCGGGGTTATTTTTACCAGCCAGCGCCTCCTGCTAATCCCAGAACCGAGCACTAGTCTGAAGTGGGTGAAGAGCTTGTTGTGGGGCTGGCATTTTTCTCACATCATCTACAACAGGGTGCTCTGCCTCTGAGACACCGCTCCTGGAGCCCCATGACATCCAACTGGGCCACAGCATGGCTCAGAGCTGGGTTACAATCTCTGTCCCACACTGATCCTACACCAGAATAAAAGGTTTTTGCACGAGATGCTGCAGAGCCGTGACCAGGGCTGGCATCTGTGGGCGTCCCCTGCTCCTTTTCATGCAGGACAGCCCTTTCCTGGAGTCTCCAGAGGCTCACAGGTGGTTTCTGCTGCGTGTCCCAGACCTGGTGCTCCAGCTCCGTTCCCACTGCAGCCCGGGGACTGCAGACCTGGAGGTGTTTGGTTGTACCCAGAACCACCGAGGAGCCTCCACAAGTTGTTTGGGAGCGCAGCTCTGCAAATGAACACGGCTCAGCAACAGCTGGGACCCGCTTCCCAGCCCTGTCCCCAGGAAGAGAGCACAGCAAGCACTCATGGAGCAAAGCTGGGGATACACCTAAGCTCTCCCCAGGCCCCAGCAGCTGTAATCCCTCCATCACCCTCACCATGCCACTGCGCTGCGGCTCCAGCTGGAGGGTGCCCAAAGCCAGCGCCTCGGGCGTCCTCCAGGATTGCCCAGGGACTCGGGAGCGCCTCTGCCAACAGCACAGCGTTTAATCCATTTTGCCCGGTGCACGCTCACAGACTTGATTAATGTCTGAAATGAGCTCCATCCATCATCGGGGAGTAAAGGAGATTAACTCCGCAGCACGCCTGCCTCACGTTGATCCCATTCTCCAGGCCTCTTGATTAATGGTGAGGCCGCCTTATCTGTCAGGCCAGGAAACGCGAATATCCGGGCTGAGGGGGATGAAGGGAAGCACGGGCGCTCGGGCTGCAGCACGCTGCCACCAGAGCCGTGCCGGTGAGCCCCCGATCCCCCTGCCACCAGCCCTGTGAGCTGTGTTCCCGGCCTCTCCACAGCCTCTGCTCCTTCCTGCTCTGCCCTGAGGGCAGGGAGGGCCGGAGGGAGGGCAGCCCCAGGCGGCTGATGCAGCCCTGCAGGAATGCGGTGCAGAAAGCCAGCCTTGGGATCCATTTCCCTCGTGGGTCAGGGGGGCAGGCGTCGCTCTGCATCCACAGGGGGGGTCAGATTTCAGGTGAGACTATTTGGAGGCTTGATGCAACCTGGGCAAACCTTCCCTGGAGGCAGCAGGTGAGGCTGGAGCTGACCGGCGCTGCAGAGGCCGCAGCCTCGTCCCCAAGAGGAGCGTTGTGAAGTGGATGCAGCAGATCAGCCAGGCCATCTGGACGGGCTCCAGCTCCTGCCCCTGGCTCGCTGCTGACGCTTCATTAACAGCTCCCTCCTTTCAGCTCCCGTCTCCTTGGCTTCTGCTGCGATCAGCTGGGCTGGAGTTTTGTTGTCCTGGTTTTTTTCCAAGTGGAAATTATTTCTCGTTTCTTTTAACAATCAGGACACAGAGAAAGATGGGAGAGGAAGGAATTTCTAGGAGATGAAAGGGCTGGATTAAGGACACTGCTTTCGCTTTGTTATCCCTCTAGTGCAGCTAAGAAATTCCTTTCAGGAGGAGGCTTTAATTAACTACGTGTTTCTGACAGGCAAGGAACCTGCATCGGGAGATAGCTCTGGTTTCTTGGGTCTGCTAACAACTCCGGCTGCAGTGTCAGCAGCACAGATTCGCAGACGCAGGCTCTCAGACAAAACTTCTCACCAAACATTTCAAATTGCTTTACAAAGGCACTGTCACCCCACTCTGGGAAAGAAGGCACAGCAGAAAAAAAAAAAAACAAAAAAGACAGAAGCAAGGCGCGTGCTGCCGGCAGGCACCGTGTGCACTGAACCACAGAGCCACGGTGGCTCAAGATGTGGGGCCGGGCCTTGGTGTAGAGGAATAACCCAGGGCAGGAGGCAGCAGAAATATCTCCAGTGCCTTCCAGACCAAGCGCCCTTCTCACACACCAGGAGAATCAGGGGAAGAGGAAAGAAAGAGGCCTGGTGGCAAACCGGGACATTTAGAAAGCATTACGCTGCTGTATCTGCATCCTGTACTGCCGCAAAACCCTTCAGGAACTGAGTCAATCAAAAATAACATTGGGGGCTGATTTTTATCCAGATGAACTCTCTCCAAGTATTTTAAGGCCACCAGCAAAACGGCCTGCTTCTGGCTTGTTTAACCCTTCTGCTGAAACCTGCACCAAGCCCGAAAGAAGCACCAGAGAACAACAACCATCCCGGCTGTGTCCTGGGAGCCTGAGGTGCAGGAGCGGCCGTGGTACTGAGCGCCCCGTGCCCCGACCCGCTTCTTCCTTCCTGCAGCCTCCTGCGGGGAGCTGGGCACGACACAGCAACGACCCGCGCGGATTTCCAGAGGAAGTCCCCCTGCGTCTCACACAATGGCAGTAATTCCTGCAAGGGAAACGTCTCCCCTGGTCCCTCCGAGAACCACGTTTGCCTTTTTTAATGCCGTGTTAAACAGGTAGCTCGTACCGAACCCTTGCCTTGCTCCTCTCTCTCCTGCCTTTCCACCTAATGAACTCCCAGCTGATAAACACACGCTTACTGCTGCTGCCGAACGCATGCCTCTGCTCCTAGCCCTGGGGCTGTGAAATGCTAAGTGGTTTACCAATTACTGTTTTCATAAATGATCGTCATTTTGCTTTTTCATTATCATTTTAAAAGGTTCCCACCTCTTCCAATGCCCCGAGCCACCGCCTGCAGCGGGGCAGATGTCTTGGCTCCCAGTGACAGCACACAGCAGATCTGGCTGGTGGTGTGCCAGGGGTGAGAGGGGCAAGGAACATCTGGCTGCTGCAGGGAGCAGCCTGCGATGGAGTCCAGCCTGCCCCCATCAGGAGGCAGGTCCCCGTCAGGAGGCTTTCCCATCCGATGCTATCAATGCTAACGGCTCCCCTCTCAACACAAGACCTCGCTCTCACTCGTGCTTTGGTTTGTATTTTACAAGTTCTGGGCCTCTCCTCTCCTCCAGCTTGAGGATTTCCTGGGAGATGCTACCAAACACTTTCTCGGACTCATGTAAATTCAGCACGCCGCGGCTCTGAACATCAGCTGTGACCGCCCTCCTGCCCCTGCTCGGGGTCAGGCAGCGGGATTGCACTGTCTGGTTATAAAACACCACCTCGCGTATTGATAGCTCTGTCATAAATCCTTGTGCTTGGATTTGCAATTTCATGTGACAGCTCTTCCCAGGCGGCGAGGGGAGTTTATCTCATCTCCCTGACTTGAACCTCTCCGGCTTTTCAGTTTTGCTTCATCTCAGATCTGTAACGTCAGAGCAGCAGTTCAACACTATCATCGTCCTCGCTGAAAGGGTAAGCAGAGCCATCGCCGTGGGTTGGGCAGACATCTATTCCTGTTTATTCCTCCTACCCCCTCCAGCAAAACAGCCTCTTGCCCTCCTCCCGAGCCCCCGTGCGCAGCTATCCACGAGCTACAGATCTGAGCTGAAACTTTTGTTCCCGTTCAGATTCAAGAGGAATTCAAGTTCCAGCTGTCTCTGCCTTGTGCTAATGCCTGCTCTGATAAAAGGGAAGCCAGGCAACTAACACCGTACCCTGAGGCTGGATTTGTCTCCCTCGGGGCTCCTGGCTGTTTCTGGCTGACACAGAGCTGCCTGCAGCTTCTTATCTTGGCCAGTGGGATCTGCCTGTTTCGCTGAGCGTGCATCCACATCCCTGACCTCTGCACATTGGCTGCGGCCAGCCTGCGAGCCTCTCTGCTTCCCCGTCACGGGGCAAACCCCGCTTGGCCCCTCCTTGTTATTTTTGGCTGTGCTTTTGTCTCTGGGATCCTCTCAGCTTTAGCAATGAAAACCAAACCACAGAAAGCTGCTGCCTTGGCCTTTGGCTCGCTGCGAGCAGCCAGAATGGGCAGAGGCTGAAGGCTAAAACCTCAAATTAGCAGCGTGGTGCTGGAATTAGGCAGGACTGACCAGGCAGCCCAGATCTTTCATTTCAGCAGGAGGAAGCCTGCAGGGAGAGAGGTGGCGGTCATCTCGCTTTGGATAAATGTCCACTTTGTTCTAATTAACAAGAAATCCAACGTGGATAACAAGCACTTAGGTAATTGTTGAGCTAAGTGTTCCTGTAAAGGCATGCCTGGCTTTGGTGAGCAGCTGAGAAAGGGAATTCACTCTGCTGCCTTCGTTAGAAATTCACACATGTAAGAGAAAACAGCCTGAGAGTTGGGAAACGGGGGGTTTGCTTGGAGCTCAGCCTCAGGCCGTGGCTCCACGTTCATTAATACCAGCTTGGGGCAGCACCGAGCTCAGGGTAGCACTGCTCCGATTCAGGTCAGGCATCAGAATACGACAGCAAATTCTTTCCAGCCATCCAGACGGACGGCACGAGCAGTGCACATCCAGACTGATGACAGCAAGACCTGAGTCACCACCAAGTTGCCTTGATGAAGCTGCTCCTAATTTATTTATTTTTTAACTCAAGTGATCGGATTCAGCACATATCTGTCTGTTGTGCTACAAACAGTCGTGCTGGGATAATCATTGTGGGGAGATGTAGGAGATGCTGCCTGAGTCGGCGCTGCTGCAGAGAGAATTACTGACAATTTTTGACCAGGGGCTCAGCAGGGGGGGTAGGGAAAACGTTTAACTTTGCCACGTGCCATTTTCTTTCCCTGTAGATGAGAAGTGATAGCAAAAACAGTTTCTAGGAAGAAGGGAGGTAAAAACAGATCAGTAGTTGGAAAATACCAATTTTGCCTGAAAAAAAGGAAGTGAGACTGATGTGCAGCTACTGCCCAGAGACACGAGCAGTCAGGCACTCAGCCAGGCTGGAGGGTCAACACATCACGTCTAACATCCCAAATGAAATCACGCCTGCCCCTCAGGCCATTGCAAGGGCTAAACTTCACTTATTACGCCATTTGATCAATATAAACAAGGACAAAGAGCTGAGCAGCAAGCAGAGCTCCATCCTCCCAGTCTGGAGTTGTGAATACGGAGACCAGGGAGCTACAGGGAAGGGTTCACAACTCAGCTCTCAGTTAAGGCTCCTCTCTCCAGGGTGCAAATCGGAGTAGTAGCTAGGTGCTAAATAAATATTAATTTCTCACCTAATGAGAAAGTATTCGGTGAAACAGCCAGGGAAAGGCTTTGGCAGTGCAGTAACAGAGGCTGGTGCTGCGCTCAACCCCCGGGGATGCTGCGGTTCTACTCGTACTGGGTAAGGCAGGACCTCCAGCTGGGACAGACGCAGGAAATGGAGCTCATTACTGAAATGCAAAAGCCTTTCAGGGTTAAGCCACTGTTAAACAAGCCAGATTCATTCCCCAATCGCAGAATTTGCCTAGCAGCAGCCTTGGAAGATTACTATCTTTCTTCATAACAGTGATGTTGCAGACAGGATGGTTGAAGGATAGTTGTGATGCAGAGATTGCAGGAAGAAGTAATTGTTTGCTTTATAACCAAGGGCTGAACCCCATTTCCACGCCTAGGCTGTTGAGATGGCAGTTCCCTGATTTTACATTAATTACTACATCTTCCGTTTAATTTAAGACATGTTTTCAAGCGGTTAACGTCTCAATCTTCCTTGTAATTACACGGAATGGTTAGTACAACTCCTCGGCTACATCCCTGGGTCCCCTGAGTGCCCATCCCCGCTCGTTTCCAGCAGCCGAGCACTCACAGAACTCGTCCTTTCCAGAGCTGCTGCCTCCGAATGCTCAGCCCGATAATGAGCTGATTGCCAGGCTGCACGTCGCTCACTGCTGCAGCTCCTGTTCTGCTCCTTCCACCTAACCCTTCAGCTCAGGGGGGCTGGGAGACCACCCCTTCTTTGGGATGGGAACTTTCCCAGGCTGCTGACATAAAAAGGGAGGCCCAAACCTCATCGAAACCTGGCGATGAAGGCTCGGTAATCAAACAGGCAGGTGCGGGTGATGTGGACGCAGGGCGCTGAGCGCGGTGCTGTCACCACAGCTGACACGCGTGCGGCAGGGATGGAGTGGCTGGGGTTTGCCGTGCCCCTACAGCTGACAGGGAGGAATTACAGCTCCCCTCACACGCGAGGCAGTTTCACAGATGAACAATATTCAAGGATGCAAATTAAAAATAACGCTGTGCTTTAGGAACTGCTAAGGTTAAACAGCAGGTTCTTGCTTTGAAAGCTGAAAGAAAGATGGTTCCTCTCCCAAGAAAGGGAGTAGGAGCCTGTCTGTGCAGGGAAAACGTTTGGAATAGCAGCAGCCCACCCGTTTCCCATGCAATCTCTGCACTTCAGGACCGGATTAGGCATAATCACACAAAGGCACTCGCTGCAGATGACTACTCCCTGTTCCCAACAGCTCTCCTGCCTTAACTCCATCATCCCGGTGCACAAACGGCAGCTTGTTTGGCAGCGGTAACCCCAGACAGATGAGCACTAAGATTTACCCAAGATGTAAAAGGGAAAGGGTATTAAGAAAATATTCTGTGACTGAGAAACGCCGCCTTTCCCACGGGCTGTGTGGGTTCAGAACTGCCTTATACACCACGGCTATCTGCTGGGGAGAAACCTGCCGGGCAAATCACTGACACAGGTAACCCCGGAGACTCACTAAAACCCCCTCAAGTAATATAAACGATGAACTGGCCCCATCCTGTCTCCAGTTCTTCAGAGCCCAGGCAAAGCACGCTGCAGGTCTCTGTCTACCCGGCGGTCCACTAGAGGACAACCTAATAATGATGAACGGCTTCGGCTGACGTGGTGAAAGGCCCGCACTGTCTGTCAGATTTGCTGCTGTCAAACCTGACTCACAGCCCATGCTGGGCTTGTTGCTAGCACGTACACGGGGCCTCGTTTTTAATGGTAGGTGTCACTTCTGGTCCTGATTGATACAGACTTGCAAAGCCCCCCCACAATAAAATAAAAAATGGTCTCTACGGCTGGTGTCAGCCTTTGGTGCTACAGATAGAGGGAAGGAAAGGAGATTTCCGGGCAGAGATCTAAGTTTTTATGAAGTAAACCTAATCCCTTACACTGCAGTAAACCACAGAGAAAGCTGCCTGTTGCTGCCGGTTTTCTTGCAGACTTCTGACACGACACCACACTTCAGCACAGGAAACATTTGGAGGTACGGAATGATCTGATGGCAACAGGTGATAGATCAAACCATAACGGAGGAACGCAGCCCATGGACTAACAGCAGGCATGACAAAATCATCAGCTCAGAGCCACAGAAAGTGCAGGCTGCTGCTCTGACACTGCACCCAGAGCAGGGCACTCTCTCAAAACCCAGGGAGAGGGTTCTTGCCTGGTATTTTGGAGGCCAAAAGGAGGGGAGCACAAACAAAACCTGAGCTAGAAATCAAGCTGAGTACTGGAGCTAGGAAACAAATGAGCTGTAAGAGCAGAAAACAGCAGAGGATTAATTACAAGTGAAGCATCTCAGGTGGGAATTAGAGGCAGAGGGGTGAGGAGGTCAAAACAACAGCTTTTGGAGGGCGATCTGGTGCCCCGACACCCCCCAGCCCCACTCGCGGGGCCTTGCCTATGACTCAGGGTCGAAAAGGGCACGTGCGTCTGCGAGAGGAAAACCCACAGCGAAAGGCGAGGGAGCCGAGCTGCTTAAAAGGCAAAAGCCGGTCCTCCTCTCCTCCTGACGCCAGCGAGAGGAGGCTGGCTGGCACGGGAGGCTGCGAGCCCCAGCCGGCCGTCGGGGGGGCTGCAGGAGAGCGATGCGAAGGGGCGCTCGCCGCAGCCGTCGGGAGGCAGCGGCCAGAGCTCGGCTGGGAGCCGGCGACCCTCGGCTGCCCCTCGGCGTCCTCCGGGCACCTCCCAGCCGCCGCCGGCTCGGCTGCTCCTCGCTGTCAGTACCTGCTTCGGGCTCGGCGGGGCGGGCGAGCGGAGAGCAGCGCTGCCGAGCCTCAGCTTCAGCCTCAGCCTCCCGCAGGACGGACCCCGGCGCCTCCGCCGAGCCCCCGAGGCCACCGCTCGCCCGCCTCGCCCCGTGCCATGGCCCCCGGTAACTCCTCCAGGAACTTCTCCGCGCCGGAGGCTCGGAACGGCTCAGGTGAGAAGGGGGGAAAGGGGGGGAGAGGTCCCGGGGATGGGGTCCCGGGGATGGGGTCCCGCGGAGGCTGCCCGGCCTCGCACCTCTCGGAGGCCCGGAGCATTCAGCACCGGCGGGAGGACAGCTCCGGGCCCCGGCCTCCGGCCCCGCCTGGCCCCGCAGCCTCCGGGCCTCGGAGGCAGGGAGGGGAGGCTGGAGCCCGGCCGGCCTCCGGGGAGGGGAGGCAGCAGGGAAGAACGAGCAGGGAGGGGAGCAGAGAGCATCCCCCCGCAGCCTCCTGTTCTCTCTGCTCAGGCCGATGGTGGAGGGGCGGGCGGGGAGGTCCTGAAGGGTACAAGGTGGTGGAAGTCCCCCCCAGAAGGTGGCTGCAGGGGGACTTTTGTGTCCTCTCCCCCCATGTGTCCTATAGAACCTAAAAGTAGGGTTGTGGTGTTTCCTCCTGAAAGGCACCGAGGACGCAGCTCGCTATGTGTCGGGGCATGGCTGAGGACAACAATCACTTTTGGATAAAAGATGAATGCTGGTCCTTGCTGAGTTCACACAGTGCAGTCCCCTCTGGGGCTTTCCAGGAGCAGCAGGGCAGCCACAAACCCCCAGGCAAGGAGAAATCAATGCCTCAGAGTAGCTGCTTCTGTGTACAAACAGACACTCGGATCTGCACAGAAGCAGCATTGAAAATTCAGATTCAATCGTTTCTAAAGCCTCTTTGTTCTTGAGATGAGAGAACTTTCTGAGTATTTGACAATCATCTACTTCTCACTGCATCCCATAATACACACGCAAACTCCAGCTTCATGCTAGCCTCCAGCTAATCACGCTTGAAACTCCTGCCTGTACGAGCACCGACATCAGGCAAGCTGCTACAGCACTACACACAGCTGCCTTCCACGCACAGCCCTCGGGCCTGCACACACTTTGCTTTAAGGCCAGCTGAGCTCACTTGAAACCTTACAGGGTCACCGTGAGCACTGCTATTACACTGCAAAAAAGGGTCATTTAGTCCCAATTTTCAGCTAAAGCAGCAGCCTTCACACTTGAATCATGTAATCCACTCCCACCTCGTTCTCAGCAAAGTTTGGGGCTAAAAGAAAGGCGAGCAGAGCTCCCAGCAGCCACCCACAGAATAGCAGAACCGCATTTGGCATCCCCCAGCATTAAGGTGTGAGACCTGCCTGTCTGTTCAGGGGATGCACAAGCCGGATGCTGAAGAGTAAGCATCAGGTCTCAGTAGGATGCTGATAACACTTAGCTATTGATAGCCGCTTATCAGGGGGCATTTTCTTGCATTGAAGAGCAGCCAGGAGGAACAAGGACCATTAACTCCCCCATGTAGCCCAGACCAGGCTTGTTTCCCCTATGACTGGCTTTCACCTTTACCTTCAGGCCCCTGGCAGTCCTGCTCTGTGCCACGCTGGCTGATCTGCCCTTGGCACGAAAGCTTTCAGACCAAGTGGCACAGCAACAGCTCTGCTGGAGCCTGCCCTTGTGTACACCTATGCTGACTGCGTCCTAGTGGCAGAAACATGGGGCAGTGGCAGCTCATGCCCCACTTCTAGGATCTCTGAAACACCACACAGGGGTGCTAGGACACGCACACACTTTTCCAGCCGAGGGCCAGACCAGTGGTGCAGCCTCAGTTATTTTGCCAACTCAATCAAGCTTCTCTGGCACACCAAAGTAAATCCGCAGACATTTGTACTCAAGAATTGCAGGTGTCAGCAAATAGCACCCCGAACAGACACCACTTTGGCAGTGAACGCTTTAGGAGTATCTTGTCTCACTTCATCTCCTTTCCAGTATTTCCCTCAGTTACGCTGGAGGAGCTGACCTCACTCCTACAGGTGGAGGCTGCTGAGAAGCAATAGCAGAGGAACTGACAAGCATTTCCAATCACTTTGAATCATCTGCGATTCAATGAATGGCTCTGGGGCTGTCACACATGTCTTTGTAACAGCCACACAAATTACTCACACAAAGCCTTCCCCTAAAAACAATAAAACAGGTCCCAGAGGAAGGAAGGGAGTAATGAGATGCAATGAGGCTTGCCTCAGCTGAGCAGGCTGATTTGGGACTCACACCGTGCACGTGGCACTTGCACAACGCAGAGCACCTTGAGTAGTGCCTCAGATACAACCCGATGGGCACAAGAGCAGAAATCTGTTGGTTGGCACTGCAGGCTCGTGGCTTTGGTGTGATTTTAAACCCTGGTAGGGACGAGGAGAACGTGACTGTGATTATGTCTGGGTCTCTCACCTCAACAAGCAATATTCAAGTCTTGGTGCTGATAAGCCAAGTGCTATCAGGCAATAATTCTGCCTTGGAAATCCACCCACATCCACAACCCAGAGAGAGCAGCTTTAAGAAGTGTTTTTGCTCCTTGTAGAGGTGGGGCATTCCCTGATTTAGGACCATGCTGAAACCTACTCCAAACCCTGCCTGCCCCCCCACCTGGATTTCTTCTACATGGAACCTAGAGAAAGGGAGAGGGGCAGGGAAGGAAGCCAGGAAAGAGGCGTGCTCCGACCTAATCCTGCTGGGCCACAGCCGCAGTACAGTCCCAGATCTCCCCATTTAGATAAGCATTAGTTACGTGCCAGCACGGTCAATGAACTTTGTCTTGTACTGAACGACAGATAAACCACCCGACAGACAAACTGAAGTTTACTGACAGCAGCTTGATTGTCAGCTGTATCTGGATTTCGGCACCCAGGTAGAGGCTTGCTTCTCTGGTGTGCAAAGCTGCCCCGTGCACGGCCTTCTAAACAGGGTGGACATCCAATATTCCCAGGAAAGTCACTATCAGTTCCCTGGGGGACGCTGGCAGGAGCAGAGGCAGACCAGCCTGATGTTAGTCCCCAGCAAGGCCGGGGTTGTTTCAGGGCAGGACTGAAATACGTCAGGAGAGCTGAGGAAAGATGCCTACAGAGCCATAAGACTTGGGTTGGGGTGGGGGGTGTCACATCCTCAGCTAAGCCTCCTCAAGGACAGCAGAGGGTCTTAAACATCTCTCCAGGCTATGTCTTGGAGGGGGATCCAGATCCAAAACAGGGCAAGCAGACATATCTTGAGGTGGTCCCTGGGTTGCACTCATGATTTTGGTTTGTTTTGGCAGTAGCAGAGAAGCCAGCACCGTACACCAATGTGATCATGCCCAGTCTCTTCAGCATCATCTGCTTCCTGGGCATCGTGGGGAACCTCATCGTCATCTACACTATTGTCAAGAAGAAGAAGCTGAAGTGCAAGCAGACCGTGCCTGATATTTTCATCTTCAACCTCTCCATTGTGGATCTCCTCTTCCTCTTGGGCATGCCCTTCCTCATCCACCAGCTCCTAGGCAATGGCTCGTGGTACTTTGGAGCTCCCCTGTGCACCATCATCACTGCCCTGGACACCAACAGTCAGATCACCAGCACCAACATCCTCACCGTGATGACCCTGGACCGTTATCTGGCCACGGTCTACCCTCTAAAATCCACCTACGTCCGGACTCCCTGTGTTGCAGCTCTCGTTATCTGCTTGGTGTGGCTCCTCTCCTTCCTGACGATCATTCCCGTGTGGATGTACGCAGGCCTTATGCCTCTGGAGGACGGGACAGTCCGCTGCGCTCTCCTGCTTCCCAACCCAGAGACTGATATTTACTGGTTCACCCTCTACCAGTTCATGCTGGCATTTGCTGTGCCGTTGATTGTAATCTGCGTGGTCTACTTCAAGATCCTGCAGCACATGGCCACCACCGTGGTCCCATTGCCCCAGAGGAGCCTCCGGGTACGTACCAAGAAAGTCACCCGCATGGCGGTTGCCATCTGCTCTGCCTTTTTCATTTGCTGGGCCCCCTTCTACATCCTCCAGCTGGTTCACCTCGGCATTGACACCCCGTCCATGGCCTTCTTTTACGCCTACAACTTTGCCATAAGCTTGGGCTACGCCAACAGCTGCCTCAACCCCTTCCTCTACATTACCCTCAGCGAGACGTTCAAGCGCCAGTTCTTAGTGGCCATCCGCCCTGCAAAAGAGCCATGTCGCAACAGCAGCTCCGTCAACAACAACAGCATGACAGATGCCAGCGTATGCCTAAAACTGGCACCAGAATCCACTCAGCAGACCCAGTTTCTGGAGGACTTTTCCCCACGTTCACTACCCGTGACCGTGGCTGTTCACTAGGGGACACTGAAGTCACCGCAGCAGAAAGCTTTCCGATCTGTGTGCTTCTGCTAGGCGGAGCAGCAGCTTCAGGCAGTTCTTGGTGAAGCGTGTAACTCCAGGCTTCCACCTCCAGGAGCCCAGGTGCCTCCCTTCTCCATCGCAGGGCTCCGCTCCTCCACTGCCCTGGGTTTCCCAGATGCTGCACGCTGCTGCTTCTTTCCACCCCTGCACAGCAGGGCTCTTGTGTCACACAAGACATCGGGCCCCCAGAGAGGATGAATGGAAAAGAAAGAAAGGACAGAAGGATTTCAAGAGGGGAATGTTGCCCTGGAAGAGCAAAACCTCGACCAACAGCACTGCCCAAAGACTCCCCGCTTCTTGGCATGGCCGGTGTTCTAAGCACCATGACAATGTGGAGCCTCTGGATTCAAAACTCGAGCCTTCAAAATACAACTTTGTGTACCTGTTCTCTGTATTTGAGCTGGGGACTTCAATGCCTGTGCTCATATCCTGGAAGCAAATTGAAGTGAGAGCAATTTTGGGGCCAGGTGTCTCACCTAGGTCTGCCTGCTTGGCCTTTCGGTCCAGCACCATCTGCCTCCAGTGGGCTGTATTGTTTGGCAACCAAGGTACTTTCAGAAAACGGCTAATTTTGATGCTAATCCTAACTATTTCAAGCAAAATCAGGCAGATAGAAATTGCACTGCTTCAAGGGACTGCGAGCAATTCTCAGAACTACTGCTGCTAACACCAGACTTGTGGCTTTTCATGCCAATGAGCCGATTTTCACACTGCTAGTTCCTCCTGCTGCTCGTGCCTCGCAGTCTGCATGGCCATCGGGGAACCCCAGGTACAGGGCTTTAAACCTGACTCTGTAAAACACAGCGGGCAGAGGACTGTGGATCAAGAAGATGTGGAAAGGCAGCTCAGAGGAAGCAGAGGTGCTTACGCAGCTTCTTCAAAATAAAAAAATGCTTTAAAAGTTAGAGGGAAAATTAAATGTCTAGTTTGCATATGAGGCTTTAACAGTTGAAGATTAGGAAATTGCTTTGCTCTTTACAAAGACTAGAGAAAAGCCAGCACAGATCTGCCAGAGGCAGGGGATTACACTGATCGAGACTCCTGGGGAATAGTGCAGGCATTGTTAAACACCTTGTCAAACATGGAGGAACTGTTTGCTGCAGATTAATTTAATATAAAAAGGCATTAAAAACATCTCACAGCAGAGAAGAATTTGTTACCACACTTCTGGTTTCATGCTGCCAGCCACCCACGATACCCCCGGAACAGAAATCCACCCTCACACAGCCGAACAGCCAGACTGCCACCTGCACAGGACTTCTGAAGCCTTCAGGTGCACCCAGTGCACGCAGTGCGCTTGCAGATATTTTTAAACACAGCCAGTGTTTCATTCCACACCGCGCGGAGAACAAACAGCCATTCACTCACCTCTAGCGATCAGAGCAGATCAGAACAAACCTCGTAACAGGGGCCCTGCATTTCTACTCCAGGCTCTGCCAGCTTCCACCCCCCACAGAAGCACGTCCACACTGCGCGCCTCTGGTATTTTGTCAATTTTCTCCCCTTCCTTCCCTGGACAATAAAGCCAGACAGGCGCGTAGAGAGACCTCAAGCTACAACTTTAAAACTCTTCGCCCCATTTTAACTTCCAGGAATTTTCACCTGTGCTGATTTTCATGGGACTTCTTTGCTCTTTGGTCAGCATTTTCCCTGAAGAGCTCAGGAGCAAAGGTCAAGGAAGCCGTGTGGTGTGCCAAGGCAGACCTGCTCTCGAGACAAGTGAAAGCATTGTTGTGAGTTTCTTCTACAAGGAAGTCAAAGGGAGGACTGGGACTCTTATCTGTGAAAGGTGGTAAAGGTTGAGTGCTTTTTTCCCCTCCTTTAATACCAGCAGAGAGGAAAGCGTAAGGGAAAGGAAAAACAACTGAACTGTCAGAGCTCTCAGAGCAGCATATTAAAGATGTTATCTCGCTTACGGTAAAGGTGTTTATGGCTGAGCCAATCTATTCCCATCCTAAATGAGTCAGGCTGACCTGCTGTGGCCTTGCCCCATGCTCAAAACCCCTGGGGCACAGGGGGCTAACCACGGAGCAAGGCCAGGACCAGCTGGAGCAGTGCTGGAAAGGGTCTCTGTGGGGAAAGCCTTTTCCAGACCCCATCACACCGACGTCAAGGCACAGGACGCTGGCACCTCCCCAGGCTGGAGTCCTCACATAGATGAGATCTAAAAGAGGAACAGCTGTGCTACACAGGCCTGATCCCAGTGCCAGGGATGAGGGTTCCCCGTTTAGCCTGAGACCCCACAGAGGCACCTGCCCCTTCCCCGTTATGTTCCTCCCACCCACCTGTGAGGATTCCTTGGCCCAGATGTCCAAATGATGCCTGCAGGCTCCCTCCCCCCCCACATACACCCCTAACAACCGCAGCAAATGCTCCAAGGGAAGACAGGGATGCAGACACCTGTGGATGTGCTGTGAAGAGAGGTGCAGACAGGAAGCAAAGCAAAGCACAGACAGCATACAGCTTTTTGCCACGTCCCCTAGATCACCCCAAAGCACTGGGCAAGATGAACAGAAGCTGCTCCTTTGAACCCAAACCCTTTGCTCAAAGGCTTTCAGAGGTGTCCCCCCTACCTACATGGTTATAGGGACTTCTGGTAGCTAATTAGCCTTCGTTTAGCCAGTACTCCTCTGCTGCCTCCCTAGCAGTGACTTCTCCTGCCCTGCTGCTGCATGGGATGCAATGGGGGGACACAATTACTGCCAGACACCCCCCCAGAGACCACCTGCAAGGACTCAGACACAGCCTTGCTGCTGAGGAGCTGCACACCCTCCTGCCAGCTGGGCCACATCCAGCCCCAGCCCTCCTCCAGCACCCTGCCCCAGAGCTCAGCACGGCATTTTCTGCCCCACACTCCCTGGGTGGGGCCGACACTAAACATCCTACCCCTTTCCCCTATTTCCCGAAGCAGATTCTGTTGAGTCAAAGAGCCTGTCAGTGTTCTGATCCATACCCAGCTTTACCTCTTTGTCTATCCTGCTGTTCATATTTGTTATGTGATGCCCCCTACCCCATCTCAGTGCCTCCGCTGCTGATTGCAGAGGCAGAACAAAAGGCACGGCTAAATGGAAAAGGACACGGCTACTGGCACGGAGACGGGCAGCCCGTGCTGCAGTCTGTGTGAAAGGCGCAGGGAGCAGGGCGCAGAGATAACGCAGCGTGTTTCCCTGCAGCCCTGCCTCTTGTAGGCAGCCCTTTGTCTCCTTCGCTCGAGAGGAACTGAAGGAAATCCAACTGAACAGCCAGGAGGGAGGCGGGGGCGAAAGGGTGGTAGAAAGAACCTATTCAGTCTAGTTGCTTGGTTCAAGAGCCTGCCATTCTGGACGAGACAAATTTCCTTGGCTCTTTTCACCAGCACTTTTTGCTGGGTGTTTGCTAGCCGCCTCGTCAGGCAGCAGGATGACAGATGGGTTCACTCTCCACCCACTCCTGTTCCCCTCCTTGTCCTTTGAGGTGCGACTGAAGTTACGTGTCACAGCACTGCTCTCGATAAACTCCCTCAGGGGGCATATGGTCCAGTTAATTTACCTCTACTTCCCAGGCTAGCAGCAGAGCCCTCTTCGGCAGCTGCCTGCAGCGTTCATTCCCTGGCTCGCCCTTCTCCTTTACCTCTTCTCCACTATCCACATCCCCACGGGGTAATAAAACCTACTCCTGCCTGCCCCACTGTCACAGCTCTATAGGAAGGACGAGCTGAGGTCCCCAGAGCCCTGCCGGGCAGCAGGTTGGTGACATCCATCCCCAAACACCGCTCTCTGCCTGAAGTCTCTGCCCAGGAGCACTCGCAGCCCTTCCGGGGAGCGAGCCCGTGCTGCAGGCTGGCGAGGGGGGAGCCCGGGTGACTCACGGCCCCTGGGACACAGCCAGGCTGACTAACGGTGTCTCATCAGTCCTCCCGGGTGGCTAATTGGATGAATTGCATTCAACAGACTCACCGGTGGGAGCCGAGCCATGCCACAGGTACAGATACGCTCCCAGCCCACTCGCTTCATGGTAGCCCTCCCGCCAGATGCGGGGACCACACAGCACTGCCCTTCCTTGCTCTCCCTGCTCCTCCTGCAGCCTGTCCTCTTGCTCCATCGCTGCTGCAGGGCTGGAGGGGGCACAGACAGCACAGGGAAGTCTCACTGATGGGCGATGTGAAAGGGTGGGGGGCTCAACTGGAGCCCCCATCTCTGAGGGGGGAGCTCCTCCAGCAGGCGGGAGCACCCGGGTGCCTCCAGGTGACATTAAGGCATTTGGAAACCGTACTGGGAACAGAAAGCTCTCTGCACCACTGGGGGAAAACCTTTTGAAGAGACGTAGACCCTCATTACAGGGGGGCATTAGAGATGATAGCTGCTTTTAAAGTCTTTGTACCTGGCCCAGATGCCATTTGGGAAACTGCTCCTGCAATCATACAGGGCCTGTAGTTGATCCCCTCAGCGCCTCTTACCCGTGCAACACACCGGCTATGGAAATCGCCACCCCTCATCTCCCGAGAGGGAATGGCTCCCCCAGAAAGGCAGAACTGGGCTTCAACAACTGCACAGTCACACCGGAGAGGTGGCTGACTGCAGCATGAGGTGTGAGGGTGCACACAGAGCGCTGCTTTCCAAAACATTTCTGGACATGTTGAGGACAGGGACATGCAGAGGACAGCCCTGGAGAAGCCTCCAGGGCCGCCAGCCCAGCTCAGTACATCTTACTGCCTCTAAATGTGGTTAGGCTGTGCTGCAACCTGATGCTGAAGTAATGCCAGCGCTCCCTGGGGTCGGGAAGGATTCCTCCAAAAGCAAAGTCAGGCTGCATCGGCATCACCCTCCCCACGCACAGCCGCCGAGCAGCACAAGCACTGCTGGAGGCTCAGGGCTCAGCCCTGCAAGGATGAGAGCCAGGCTCTGCCCGTTACATCGGGGTGAGGTTGAGTTTACCCCACAGCAGCGGGGGTTTTAGCACAAGGAACAGGGAGCAGACTGCACCCTGGCTACTGAGTGCATCACCCAGCGCCCCATGAGAAAGGAGGCCTGCACGGTCTGGTGCGACAAGCACCTCCAGGGCACGGGATTTTCTGAGCTTTGATTCAGCGGTGACACACACGGGTTTTGGTTTAGGCCTTAACTTAGTTTTAAGTGGAAGAAATGAGGTTTACCAGATGAGTCAGCCCTTCCCTCCAACCCCTGCTCTTCTGTCCCCTGCAGGTTTCCACTCACAGGGTAGTGAGGGCTGACAGTCAGTGACATCACTTTCATTATTCTAATGTTTGGTTGTTATTGAATTGTTTTTTTCCTAAGTTTGAAGGAGGTTTTATGATTATCTTCCTACACGCGCTGCTTGAAGCACAGCAGCTTAGCAACACAAGGCTGCCAGGCCCTGCTCCACCAGAAACTTGACAGGGGAAAGCAGGGCTCTCTTTGAGTAGGGAGAAAAGGGAAAAGCACAGGTGAGAAGAGCAAAGAGAGAACTCCTGCCCCATCCAGCAGCAGTGCTTGTGACACCCACACCCCACTGCAGGATGCAGCCCTGTGACTTCTCTCCCATTGGGATTGAGCACAGAAAGCCAAACACCAGCAGTTGTGCGTCCATTTTAGTACAGAACACGTGGCAGGGATGAACAGCGTGGAAGTAGTGGGTGAAGTTAGCATCAATGAGAGCTTCCTAAAGCTCTTATCCACTTATTTCTTCAGGAGATTGGTTCTTGGTGCACCTTGTCCAGAGCCAGGTCTCTCCCCCAGGGGAAACAGGTTTGAAAAGGAGCAGATGGGTCACATCACGCCTCCCTCTGTCCTTCTCCCCCCCTCAGAAATGAAGACTTCAGCTTTCAGCTTGCGCAGCCCCTTTTGGGGCTGTTTAACAAAGATCTAGCCTTTACGCAGCTTCCTAGCCCCTAATCCCGGACTCAGATCTCCAAGCGCTCTGGCAGCACAAACACGTTGTGTTATCAACAGGAAACTGCTTCAGGAGCGGAAAAAAGGCCTAAAATGTCACCTCTCAGAGAGGGAACAAGTCGCCCATCCTTCGCTTTTATTCAAGGCCAGATACTTTTCCCCAGCCAACCACTGCCATTGGAGAAAGTACACAAACGTTTGCTCCCGGGCTGAGACGCGCTGTGCCAAGCCAAGGCCCCCAGCCAATCCTGCCACAATATCCACGTTTAAGAACACAAACACTGGCAGCTCAGGGAGAAGGGACCCATTTGCTGGAATTAATATTCAGTCTTTCTGCAGCATGGGAAACATCAATTGTTCTGTGTGAAATGAATTACGTGTCTTTCTTGGGGGGATTTTAATGAGACCTCCCCCCTCTTTCCCTGACACTCTCAGACTCCGGGTAAAAGGAAAAAGCAAAACAACATTCCAGCATCTCCCCATCAACCTTGCATCGTAATGGCCCAATCAGGGTAATTAGGATGTCTCCTATGTGCTCGGGGAGGCTCTACCCAGCAAATCCAGCCTGCCGTTCATTATATTGT